AGAGAGAGAGAGAGAGAGAAAGAGAGAGAGAAAGGACCAAAGGACCAAGGAAAAGGAGAGGAAAGAAGATTTCCAGCGGGTGATTCGTTGGATTTTTCTGAACCGAGGTCTAGATACGATTCGTATACGAAGAGGAGCGAGAGATTAAGAGGAAATTAGAGAGGTCTCGATAGGAGTGCAGGGTGGAAGTCGAAGTCGTTGGTTACGTCGGAAGAGCGAACGTTTACACGCTCGTAAAACGGTGAAACGGAGGGGGTTTTACATGCGTCATCGTCGTGCGGGTACAAATCGCACGCGACCATACGTTTCGACGACAGTACACGTGCGTAACGACGCGCTCGATCGCTCCTGCGAAACACGGGGCTACGATCCTCTTTCAAGGACACACGGTGATAAATGCGGTGCCGGAGATGACGTCCTCCGCGTTCTCCAAAATGTCCATCCGGCTGGTACTGCTGTGCTTGACGGTCGTCACGTGTAACGGTGAGTACGAATTTCAATTTTTCCAATTCTTGTTTTCCATTTTGCCTTTTTGCAATTTGCGTTTTTTTATTTTTAAAAAAGAAGCATGTAACTTTTGGTATATAATTGTCTATCTTTGATACATATCATATCATATTTACTTTAATTATGCTGTTTTTGTAATTGAAATGTAATTGAAGAGTAGAAAAAAAAACTGGTAGATCCAGTTAAGAAAAAGATGTAAATGATAGATTAGAGTTATATTTGGAAAAAACGTGAATTAAAATATCGAAATTACGGTAACTTTTGCTTCCAACGAAGATAGAAAGTTGAAAAAGTTATGATCCTGGACGACGTTGTTGTTTATTGTTGTATGTCCATTTGTTAAAAAATGTTCATCGATATCCGTTGGCGATAACTTTATCCACAAATAAATAATATGCGTTTCACTTTTTCATAATGATAGTTTTAAAAACAGACCGCGTGACGCAAATGTTTGTATAAGATTAAATAGTTTCGCGCGTACTCATCGTTGGCTGACTCGATGATGAATTGAAATTTTGCGCGTTAACTTGCCGCCAGTAAAAGTCAACGTATAACCAAGGAACAATAGAATTGCGGTGAATAAAATATCCACGATAGAACTTTCGATCGTCTACTAATTAATCGAAGCTATTAATTGTATGAGAACGGAAATTTATAGTGAATCGAGATTACAAATAGGGTAATAATATCGGTCGATCGACGACACGGACAAATTAATATGCTAGAAGCCGTCATTTTTACGACTTCGAAGGCCTTAACCTCGACAAGGGCCTCGTATAGCCTTTAAGTGTCATCACAGAGGTTGCATTCGAAATGATCGGTGCGAGGGCATTCGATTTTACTGTCACTGACACGTAATATTCAACTATTAAACTATTAATAGTGTCGAATTTCGGCTTCCATTTCAAATCTTGGTTCATTCAACATATTCATCAAATAAACCTTCATTATTATATTTGAAAAGAAAAGAGAACTTGAATAATTATCTTCCACTTCTATAGAACTTCTTTAGATCATAAGAAGCTTACTGTAATCACTTTTGTATTATTATTATTAATCAAAAAATTTGCTTCCAAAATCTTCCATTTTTTAATTAATCATAGTTTCGAAGAACTTCAAAGCCAACAATGTAATTATTATTTTATGGATGATCTTTATATATCTTTGTATATTTTTCAATTTTCTTCTTGCATTATTCAAATTAACGATCTGAGTTAATGATGATGAATTAATTTTATATGAATAAATATCTTGTTATTTATGAATGAAAGAGTAAATATTATTCCTATATCTTTTTCGTTCTTCGTTCCAAAATTCTCCATCATTTTATCTTCCTCCAGTTTATAAAATACTTTCCTCAAACTCATTCATTCTCAAACTAAATCTAAATTAATCAAAATCGAAGGATATATTTCAAATGATGATGAATTTCATTCATACGATAAACCCTAAAACGTGTGTAAATCGTGTGTTTCTTCACCGACACCTTGGCAATGAAACCAGCTCTCAAGGCGATTCCGTCGCCGCGAATCTCCATTTCTCTTTCCACGCTCTCGATGATTTCGTTTCATTAAAAACGCGGCACGTGCGCCAGTCGGCTGTCCACCAAGCCACGCGAAAATCTGTGTTAACAGATTCGATTCACTTTCGTCGACTGTGTCGCGTGCCTCGCTCAAATAACAAACTTTACGATTTTCGCCTCGCGATCGTCGTGAAAAGGAGGCGAAATCACGACGATCTCGACGAGTTTTGTATTCACAAGTGTAATCAGACCGAGACGTTGACCATCGTCTTGAATCCTCTTGTTGATTGTTGCACGAAATCGCGATTCCCCTCGCCGATTTCATTTCGGATTATTAGAAATGTAATTGGCCGCGTCCAGATGAAATTTTTCCTCCTCTTAAACGAATATAGAAAGAATTCCACGGATAAATCCTCCGAGTTCGATTTTCTAGATAGTCAATACAGGAACGAGGATTTATTTCGACCATAAATTCTAAAAGATGTTTTTCTCAAGTGACGGGTTTCGAATATATATTACAAAGATAAACGTTTCTTTTGGAGAAAGGTTGGAGGATTGGAGTGAATGAAATACCAGAATGAAATACGAGCGTGATACGAGTTGAGTTTTTAATCCTGATTACTTGATTTGGATAGGGATCTTCTAATTATTCCGTACAGTTATCGTATACTGTCATAGTTGACCCTGTTTTGCGAGTTTGTGAGAGTATGTTAATTTGAATCAATTTGCAGTACAGTTTGGAAGATTGGTTGTAAGCTATTCATTCATATCGATTGCAACACTGATGTATACGTTGATCGAAAGAGTACCGAAAGGAAAGGAAAGGATCGAAAGATGATATGCGCGCGATATTCAAATAATTGTCATATATTTGCAGAAGAACCATTGAAACGTTCAAAGAGAGAGAATGATGAAAATTTTCTAAAAGAACGTCGGATAAGAGCGAATCGAAATAAGTGGGACCGAGATATCCAATAACACAGATATCAAGTTGCCGTGAAGACGTTTGCATCTCGACTACGATTCTCTATCGAGAGCGAGATGCAAATTGAAGCGATCGTGCGTGAACAACTCGAGATCTTGGACCATGTACCGTGATTCATCGAAGAAAGAGAAGTTCGTTTACTCGCCGGAAATACTCTCCTCTGTGCATGTAATTACCGCGTGAAATTACGGAGCCACGTAAAAAAACCTTATTACTTGTCGTGTAATAATATTACGTGTAAATTCAAATTAATTTAATCCGTTCGAATCTCTGATGGGAAAGGAAATTGAGATTATCGCAAGAAAACGAAACGAAAAAAATATTTATGAGATACGTGGCTAAAATTATCCATATCCCGGATTAACGATATTCTGAAACTTGATTCGAGATGATTGAACTTGAATTATGCAATATAATCTAACAAATTAAACGCTGATATCATATCGATAAAAAAATTTTTCAAATTTTTCAAATTTGTTCGATTTGATTTCTGACTTTCGATATAAATATATCGATCGTGATTTAAATGGGATACTTGATATAATCCGATATCACAGAATTTTGGCAGCGGTGGATCTTTTTGTCGATCGTTTTTTCGATGCTTTTTAAAACATCCGTGGAATGGGCGAGGAACGACGGGCCGAAAGAACTGGTTCTTCTGCGGAGGGTGGTTAAACTCGATGCAATGCATGCATTTAGTGAAACATCGCTCTGGAATGCAAACACGTGAGGAAGGGTAGGAACCTGCATGGGAACTATTGTACGATCCTGCCGTTGTAGGATCCACGCCGATGAATTTTATGCATTCCATGGACGCTCGATTTCAAATTATCCTTTTCCTTCTCATTTTCATCGCGATACTCGATAATATTTCAATTTTTTTCTCCATTTATATTACGTGAAAAATACTTTATTGGTATATTTTAATTATTAATTTCTGAGATTTTTCTGAGAGAGTTTTAATTAATAAAGAGTGAAGAAAAGCTGTTCTACTGTGCTGTTTTCGATCATTCGATTCCTCGTAGTCATATTTGTTCGAAAAATTGTCAAAGAAATTAAAATTCTTATTTCTTTTGCTTAAGAAAAAATGGCATCGAGATTTTCTACGCGAAAATTGGTATTGGAGAATTTTCGATGGCTGATATTCTCGATGTCTCAGGAACGAAGCAAGATACACATCCAGTTGATACGAAGCATTAGTCTGTAATATATCTACAACGAATCTTAGGAAAGAAAGAAAGAAAGATTCGTTTTTTTCTCATAAAAATCCAAGCACTCCAACGTGAGACACGATTATAAAATTACTTATATAATTTTAAATTCTTTTTCATTTCTCGTTCCTTCTTTGACACGAGCGTCAAGCGTCAACAAAATAATATCATCAAATGAAATTTTTATCGATTCGATTCGATATCGATTTCCTTCGCTCCGTTTATGCAGCTTCAAAAAACAAGAGAGGTTCGATCAATATTTTCCTTTTGACGCGGTCGCGACTGATTATATACCGAAGAGTTCGAAGAACGGAAATGCAGTTCGATGAATTTCCGGGGTTAATCCCGATCAAGAACGACGCGTTTTTATATCTCGGTTGCGGGAAAACGGACAAAGATTAGCGAGATCTTTCCCGCTATGTTCGAACACGTAGCCAGCCGGAGCTGATTTTGTAATATTTCTCGAGAATCTGTTCGTCACGATGCGAGATGCGAATAATAGATAGAGTCGAGTGAAAGAAACGGCATGCGGAGAAATATGAGCTGCTTCTGAGAGAAGAAGTAATTTCAGTCGAATGAAACTCTCCGTTTCTTGTGGTTTCTTGATCGACTCGGATTAATCGCGTATCCGTGTGGAATTCTTTCGCGTCTTCATCCTCATTTCACGAATCATCAATGTGTTTAAAATAATGGATATACGAATAATTTTTAAACGTTTAACAAACCTGCAGATCACCATTTCGATACAATCGAGATATATTCGTAACGTTTGTAAGGAGACGTGCATAAAGTGGATTAAAGTAATTCGATCGCCACAAGTCTCGATTTAACCGGTCTGCCTCGGCGTCGATTAAGCCGGTTAATCGAGATCCCATGGCATTAAGCAGCTCTTAGAATAGAAGAAAGTATAGGAGAATTCAAACGAAGAAATATTCAATTTTTTTTTTTTTTTTTTTTCTGTAAAATCATCTTTCCTTGAAAATACATCTTGAAATAATGAAATCCTTTTTTATCTCTTCGAAACGCTTTCTCCTGTGAATCCTGTTCAAAAGAAGAAAAAAATTCGGGAATGCGCTCGAAACCTTTCCAGGAATTTTGACCGTGACAATCGTTTCCTCGAACGATACTTCTTCTTATTCATCCTTGTTAAAAATCAGAGGAAAAAGAGAAAAGATTTATCGAAAACGACGGTCATCGATTATCATCAATTATTAGATTAATTTTCAATTAATCGAAGGAACAAGAAAATCATTTAAATAACGTTCACTTGTTTTCCATTTTTCTCAAACTTGGTAACGCGTATAATTTATTCGTTGAATGTTTCTTCTTGTGCGTGTAGATAAGACACGTTGCGAATTTGAAAGAGTCGAAGCAAGAAAGAGTCGATTTCATACGAAAAATTAAAAAGTCTTGCGTCAGTTATAATATCTTTAATCACGTATATGTTCCTCCTTTCGATGTACGATTCATTTAATGCTCAAGAATGAGTTAGGACAGCAAGTGACTTCAATTGAGAGAAACTTGATTAAACGAGTTTCGATATCCAATATTTTCGAGATGAAATGATAATTATTTCTCTTTTATTCCATCTCTTCTTTTAATGATGCCATGTACGATAGCTTTGATTTTTGTTTGGAAAGATTTCTATCTCTCTAATAACTTTATTTAATTATCTCCAACTCTTCTAATATCTTTTTATATTCAAAGAATTCCTCTTCTAAATTAATGAATCTAGAAATACTCCTTTGTAGATCATTCGAGAAAAATATGTCACGCGGAATTTATTTGTATCAGATGGAAATATTATAAATTATTACTTTTATCTTTTTTTTTTAACGAAGCAATTATCTCCCCATTATTCTATACCGTATGTTCAAGTGGATCTTATATATAGCTTTACACAGTTTGCTTTCCGCCTAAGCATATCAATCGTGGATACCTTCATTCCGGCGAGGAATAATTAAAGACTGATTTCACTGCAGGAACAGTTAAGTGGGTCACCTGAAAAGTATGCGCGTCAAAAGTTAATAATCGTTCCGGGCTTTGCCGGGAATATTTTAGATTACCCAGGACGGTTATCTACACGCATTCCACGAAACACAGTTTCTCGAAATCCTGTCGCAAATATACGGTTTTCCGTTCTGTACCGAGCAAACTGTGTACATATTGGCTATACAAAAATACTAACCAAATATTCTTAACAAGTTTAAACTTTTGCATACTCCGTCAACATATGTATACACACATGTATTATACATTCTCGAAAAATATATAATTGTCTTAAAATAGTTTCCAACTGTCCCTGAAAATTCGGTACGCTCGTATCCTCGTATGCTGAATTCG